ATTACTCCAGATTTACATTGTAATGACTGAGAGCAGAATTTGGCCCAGTGTATTCCAATAACTCTCATGTGGTAAATTTCACATTTTGATAAATCTCTAAATGTTATTCGGCCAATAATTCCATAAGGCAGAAAAAAACAAAACAATTGGGATTAGTTTTGTATCAGTTTATAACATGGTTCTAAACTACACTGCTTATCTAGACCTTCAGTTATCTACAGTGTAATTAATTTAAGCTTTATGAGTGACACTGTTTTTTAGTTTTTCTAATTTTAAAAAGTATTTTTATTCTAACGAGAAATTACAAAAAGCCTCTGATGTATCTAGTTTGAATGTGAATCATCACATTTACAAAGACACTGCAACACAAAGTTTAGCCTTCCAGCTGCATGTGTAACAAACAGTGGTTGATAGAAACAGTGTGTTGATGGAAATCAATCTGAATAGCATCTGGTACAGTAGGTATCTGTGCTACTAAATCATAAATGAAAATTTTTTAATTTAAAAGTAAGTAGCCCAGACACTTTACAACACTTAAGGAACATGCATTCAAACATGAAACATTTTAATCCTAACTCCAAGCATGTTATTTCATTAAAATGTTGGAAGGAGGAAAAGAGATGAGGGCCCAAAGAATACCAAATATGGACATTCTGAAACTGTTGAATGAAGTGTCTTACAAAATGGTGAAGCAAGGTGCAGTATCTTACAGCCGTCTCTTATGTGTCACTCTGCTTTAATCCCAAAATAATTCTTATTTTATTCTAATACACAATGTATGTACTAATTTCTTGTGTGTTTATTTTCAGACGACATTTTTCATGTTGTCCTTGATTTTTTCCCCTAAGTATGAGAACATATGAATTTCATCTTCAACTTTCAATAGCAAATGAAAAATATATATAAATACAAACCTGTCTACCAGAAATATTTTGAGAACTTCAAAATATCTAAACATCCAGAGTGGCTTAGGTAAGTGATTTACAATGAGGGAGCTTACTCTAGATTCACACATGAGTGAGTTTTGGTTAAGGGTGGTTGGAAAATGGGGTTTTACTATGTTCACAGTATTGCCCCTTTTTAACCTGTGCAGCTAGTTAAAGTTTGGGGCCCTGGGGATGTTTCAGCTCGGAGCAGAAATGGATGATGAAGTCTGGTATTTTCTTTGATGCAAGTATGTTTATTTATAAAGAATGTACAAAGTCCTTCTTCTCCAAATGAAGGAGGAACCAAAACACAGGGGATAGTTTCTTTGTTTACAGCCCCAAGCCTCTTTAACCAGCACCAGACTCGGAACCTTACTGTAGACTTCTCCACTGTCACACCGTTCTTACATACTGCTTCTTGGCTTACTTCCTGCTTCCAAGCCTCTCTGTTTGTTGTCTGCTCTTCCTCTCTCCTCCCGCTCCCAACAACTTCACTAGACTTTTTGCTCATCCACAGATACATACATGCATATGGTTAAAACAACACGCAGCGAAACCCTATGCCTACATGGTGCTAGTTTCTGGCCAGACTCCATTATGCCTTGTTTTAGGTATGGACCCTTAATGGCCTCTGACAACTAACTTAAATGAAGAGTGTGTTCACACATAGCGAGGTTTTAACTCAACCCATAACAAGATTTAATCCAGTTCATAATAATAATATATTTATTTTGCTGGATTTTTGTGCCCCCAATTTGCAAATAACGGCAAGTACAACCGATGCCATTTAGACGCTTAGCTACATAATACACAGGTACAAACAGGTAGTTAAACCTGTAAATGACACCAATCACATCTGCCAACCATTGCAGGTGCAAACATGGAGCCCATGTTATGGTCTAAAAATCAGGGCCAGACAATATAGTAATTGGTCTGCAAGAAATACTTTCTGTTCCATGTATATGCAGTCAATTCTACTGGCATACGATGGACAGATACAATATATTGAACTATCTCCCTATCCTTCTGACCGTATGGGTGAACTAAATTAATTATTTTTGTAATGTTCAAATTGAAAAAAAAGTCCCTGCATCATCCAGCTACTGATAATAATATATTCACTGATCAATTCTGTCAGCTTTATTTGCCTATTTTCCCCAGTTGCTGACAAAACTGAACAGTTGCCTCGGCAACCCACTATGTGGTACTAACGTAGTCCCAGTTTCATCCAAGGCATTTAGCAGCAGCCAAAGGAGAACTGCCACTTGCGGCTGCCTCCAGTCGTACGATCCAGGCCATGGAGAGGCTGTAAGGTGAAGGGGGGCTGTTCCTAAACCTGGCAGCCCTCTTCTTTTATATATCGGAAGGGGGGAAGAGAGGGGAAGGACAGCATGAAAGACTAATGATGAGAGACAAACAATATCAGGGAGGGCCAGGACAGGTTGCTGACAGAGGAGGGAAAGAGCTGAGTTGAACCAGGTTGGTTTAGTTGAGCAGGGAGAGCAGCTGGCTTTACCAGTGTTTAGGAAGGTGGTCAGGATTTTTAGTTTAAACTGTGGGAGAAGCATTTTCCTTCCATTTCCCACAATTCAAAAACATATGGAAATTCCCCCCCACCCCAAGGTGTTAAAAATCAGAAATCACTTTTGGGTGGAAACAAGCAGGGACATTTTCAATCACAAAAGTTATATGTTGAAATATACAAGCAGGGGAAACAGGGTGTTATAACAGAAAATGCTATGCAACCTGATTTACAATGCAAGCCTCACAGTAAGCAATAATCCAATCATATCACTAAAATCCCCCCATGGAGAAGACTCTCCACAGGCAAATTCTTCCATGCAGAAAGGGTGCTCAAACACCTCTTTGACAGTGTTTCCTCTCAATCCAAAGAGGGACCTTCACAACCCAGAAGTCGGTACAAGGGCAGTGGATGGGCAATGGATGTCCCAAAGGAGTACGCACATCGTTCCCTGCTTCCTCATGCCCAGCATTGGTGAGGGAGGCAATTAAATATGGACTCACCCCCTTCAAAAGTGGGAATTCCCTTTAAGGGGAAAACTGGGAGCATAAGTCTTTATAACTTGGTTCTATTAGAGTCATATCACTGCCATTGAGAGGGGAATTTGCTGGAGACCCAGAGAAAGCATGAAGGCATACATATCTCTGTGGATGAGCCTGGCCTCCTGCTGTTGTCTTGGGATTCACAGGGTTTGAGGTCAGGGTCCATTGCTTGTTTGTCCCTCACTCTTCTTTGCAGCAGAACTATTAGGGAGGGATCTATTCAGGGAAACTGAGCAGATACTTCTTCCCTTTTAGCTGCCCACTTATTATTTGATGTCTTTTCTTTTACTGTACAAATTATTATTGCGCAGTAAATGAAAATTTGAAAAACTGTAAAAGCAGCAGATCTGAAGGCAGTTGAAGCATGAGGGTTACTAGGAGTGGCCTTAGCCACTTTTGTTTTGTTATGAAGTATCCATCGAGAAAGCAGCAAATTAAGTACTTTGGTATTTACAACTATGATATCTCCTGTTCTCTGTGTTAACTTTGTAAACATTTCTCTCTTGCAGAGTGGACATCTTTCACTGAGTTTCTGTAGCTACTAAGTTTTGCATCAATAAAAAGCTTTAATCCTCAAAATAGAGAATGTCTACGTAAGCACATTTCATTCTTGTGCCAAAGTCGTCAGAACTTGCTGAAGTAAGTGGAAGAGACCTTCCTTGTCTCTTCAAAGCTTTACTTTTATTCTCCAGAAAAGAACCCAGAGAATGTAAGTTTTGAAAATGCCTGTGGACAGTGCTTCAAAGAGGTAAGATATTTAGCTTGTATTTCCCTTACCCCCTGCATCTTCTCACCACATTTTTCTCCTTATTTTCAATAGAAATAATTGTATATGAATCAGTTAACAGTTTGTCAACTACAAACAAACTAATTTAAGTGAAGGCTTGAGTCTTATATAATCATAAATAATATATAAATATATATACACAACAATGGTGGATCATCTGCCTTTCTATGTTATGTTGATATCATTTAACTCTCTCTCTCTCTGGTTGGCTGTAACAGTATCCAGATGCCAAAACATTTGAACTGTTTTCTTCCCTTCCAACAGCAACATTTGGATCCTTCCCAAGTAATTATGCTAGTAATTTTGGAAATGCCTATGGGTTTATCATAGCACCACATGTTGATGGAGCAGATCTAACTTCCTATATTACATATTCCATCAAATTCACCTTAAAATAATTTAATGCACTTTTCTTCTGTTTCAGAATACACTGGTTTCCAAATTCCTCAAAAGCTTTATGAGTGTGTTTATTTTATGAGAAAATGAATAATTTCCCCATATTCATAAGGATTTTTTGCTACATTCTGAACTGGCCTTGGGCAAACCATAGCCTAATAATGGTCTCACATGTGTACTGAATTTATTTTGTAAATTAGATTTAAAAACCTTATAACTTTGTGCATTTCTGTATGTCACTTTGTAGGCCTTTTTCTTTTAAATCGAAGACCCATCAGTGATCAATGTTTTTATTTTATTTCTTTATCTTTAATGTTATGTACATTGAAATACTGTTAGATACAACTATCTTCAAACCACTCTGCAGTTAAAAAAACCAACCACAATATTTTCTGATTTATGAAAGTGTCCCTCTCTGACCCCAAATAAATCAACAAGATGATAACCACAATGCCTTGATCTAATAATGCAGGAAAAAATAGATACACACACACACCCACACACATACTTATATAAAAACCCTGACTGATGTTGCAACTGCTGCAAAGCTAGGACAGCTATATTTCTTGAAGGAACATCCCAAAGATCAAACACACAATGAAAACATGCAGTGGAGTTGTTTTACATACATGGATATAAGTCTTTGATGCCAAGCACATAACTTAATTCAATGGATGTAGTAGCTGACAAACCCCCTCCCCCCAAAAAACCCTACATAGTGGTAAACAATCTATGAGCAGAAAATGAAGAACACATGGAGGGAAAACGAAACAAAGAAAATGACTCTGAAATGTGCAAGATGACTTGTCTATACTTGAATGTCTGACCTGTTAGCTGGTCGTCGCCTGCAGCAGGGGCGATGCGAATGTATGGTGTTGTAAGCTGAGTCACGATTATCGCAGCTAAGGCAAAGGAAGATTTCCAGGTCAGCATGCATGAGGAAGAAAAAGCCAGACTGAAGCTATGCTAGCAAGAAGAATCTTGGTCAATATTATTGTCTCAAAGTTTTACCAAAAAACCCCAAAACCAAAAACAAATGAACAAAAAACCACGAAAGCGCCTCTTCATCATCAGCTTTTCTTATTTTGTTAGTTTGGTTATTCTGTGATATTAATAAGCTTTTGTATGTAACCTTCATCCAGAAAAAGGAATCAAAGTGTACTATTTAACAATTACAAAACTGATTAACTAAAGATTGAGGCTTGGCTCCATTGGCCACATCATTGGATTTAATCTGAAAAAATTCAGTGCTTATTCAGATAACTCCAACCTTAATTTGTCAAGGTAAATCACACCAATTTCTTTTTTGCTTTTTAAACTTTCACAGTACATTTTTCCTATGTTTATTTAAAATATCATTTTCCTGTACAATATTCTTCAATTATAGTTAATACACATTTTTTCCTGAATCTTCCTGATAGAGGTCCTAATTTTGCAAACGCAAACACTTACACATGCGAGCAGTACTACTGACTTTTCACATGCTTTAAGTTAAGTGTGTGTAGTTGCTAGATTGGGCCTAAACAAGTTTATAGTCTCCCACTAAAACAATGAAAGGTGAAAGCAGAATTGCCTACACACCTAAAGTATCTTGACTCTTCTTCATATAATCAGAAATGTACGGTAGAAGGGACCTCAAGAGGTTATCTAGTTAAGGCCCCTGCACAGAGGCAGGCCCGAGTATACCTAAACTATTCCTGGCAGGTGTTTGTTTTTGGAGGGCTGTACCAACAGATAAGTATTACTGTGGTTCACAATGAAATCTTCTGATTCTTTGTTTGCCAGAAGCACTATGGTTGTCATTAAATGGTTAAGCACAGTATGGTACATATAGATTAAGAAATACTTTAAAAAATTAAAAGGTCAGATCCGACATGATGCAGCTGGAAAATGATGCAAAGAAAAATATTGGAAAATTAAAGATAAGATTATATGAAAGATCGCTAATTTACATAGAACAGCCTGGGTGCTATTAGAAATGTGGCAACGAGTGAGGAAAATAGATCATCAACCATCTGTAGACAATTAAACTCAAAACTGCTGCTGCATAATATTTTGAAATACCCCTCTGCAACACAGTGCTGCTAGTAGCTACTAGAGTACTGTTGCTATTGGATTTAAAATATTATAATAGCCTTTTCTCTCTCATAATTAATGAAAGCCTCCCAATGTTGCAAGAGCAGAATAATAACCTCTCTTTCTGTTTGGTCTGAGAATTGGATTCTTAAGAGATGCCAAAATGGTCACTATTCAGACATTGTAACAAGTCATAGCAGGAAATACATTCTTAATATAATCAAGAATCACCACAACGTTGATAATTGTATAGTTAGCATGTTTTGGTGTTTTTCAACCTCCCCTTCACAGATTTTTATCATCATTTAGCTTAAAGAAAGAGCAGACATATGAAAGCCATTTTTGTTACCTGCATGAAAATCTATCCTGTTTTTATTTTAATTATCTCATCTCACATAGGAGGCACCCCTTCAGTCCTCACATTTGTATGCACTTTGAATAGTCATAAAAATAACAAAAGCCTTATTTTGCAGCACCAGAACACTCTTCACCGTACTCAGATAAAAAGAAACAGGGAGCCCAGTCCATCTCCCAGCGCAGCCAGTGGCAAGGTTCCATTTGATTTCTAAAGGAGCAGCACTGGGCGCTTCAGTTATACAGAACCCAGTATGCTGATCTTAAAACAACATTATAATCATGGCAATCAAGATTTTTATATGATCTCTGAAAGTCTATCGGTTTCATTTGTAAAGAGCTAATGCTTACAAGACGTTTGTTTCAACTGTTATGCACTGAGGATTTAAAATAATGGAATTACAAAGTATTATCCAGATACAGACATAGAACCTGCATCAGAATACACCTGGGTATGGCTATACAGGGTTAAGGCCATCTTTTGTAGAAAGCCTTCAAGTAAAAGGATATTTTGCACACAAGACATTTTCTTCTCCTGCTTATGCTGACATTTCAGTGATTCTACAGAGCTTGTTCATGTGAGGTACTAAGCACATTGGCTTGGATTCAGAAAAGCAGTTGAACATTTGCTTAAATTTAAGTACATGCACTGTCCCGTTGATTTCATTCAGGACTACCTGTACTTAAAGTTAAGTCTTTGATTAAGTGCTTTGCTGGATCAGGGCAAGAAACCTTTCCCACAAAGTGTACAAAAATAAGAAAAGCATCCAACATACCATGGATTAACTACTGCAAAACTCAATCCATGTTCTACCACAATTCCAACTGCACGAATGTCTTGAGGGGGACACAAAACTTTTGACTAATATTAAATTGAGACAACCAGGGGGAGGGTGGGAAATAACTAAAAGGCTTTAAAGACCATGCTCAAATCAAGTCCTGGATTCCTCCTATGGGTGCAGACTTCAAAACCTGCTGGCTACATTCCTTGAGTGTAGACAACCAGGTGGCTTTGCCAAAACCAGTTGGCTCAGCTGATCAGTGGGTAACCTGGGCTAATGGGAATTTGGAGGAGTATATTGACATGCTCCCTGGACGACTCAAATTCCAGAGTGGAGCTGCAGAAGCTTTCTACTCGGGTGGAATTTAGGAGAAAAACAGCAACTTGGCTGTACTGCACAGCTAGTGGGTTTTACAGGATACATTTTATGATACAGGCCCTGATCCACTTAATATGTGCTTAACTTTAAGCACATCAGCAGCCTGAGTTTAGTCAATGGGACTATTAATGTGCTTCAAGTTAAGTGCATATGCAAGTGTTTTCGGGATCAGGGCCTTAAAGTATATGACAGTCTGCAGGGCAGTAAGAACTATAAATGGTTGCAACATTAGGTCTCACTTAAGAACCAGATTCTGCCACCAATATTCATGATTAATGAATGAAGAGATTTTGCTCTATCTTTAAAAATCTTCAAATTTCAGTCCTTAAGGATGATTTCAGCCCAAAATACAAATGCTTTGGAAAGTCAGGAATATGTTAAAACAAATGTGATAATGGAGACTGTTTTGCAACCTTTTCTATGGGAAGCACAAATGCCCGCTGTAATACGTATAGCAACACAACCACAGAACACAGCTATAATTGTCTAATAACAGCACTTTATATGCATTAAAATAATCACATCAGGTTGTATAGTTACAAGCAGTATAAAGCTTTACTGACCCAGGGAGATCACGGTCAGAGATAGAGCCTCTTGTCATAAAGGCCTCTCATTTCCTCAGAGTAGGGAAAGTGTACACGTTGCACCAGCCCTTTGGATGGTTCACACAGATCCCCAGCGTATGGTCAACCAAGTCAGCAGACAAGTATAGAGGGGAATGGGTGTGGGGTCATGGCCCCCCTTCTTCCCCGTGGCAAATGAGATGATTTGCACCTCAAAGATAAGGGGTCCTGCTATTCTATTTAGCACTTGTGGGAAACCCAAGGGGTGAAAGGCTCACTGCTCCTTAAGCAACCTTGCCAGATACAGGCATAATCTGACCTTTAAACTACAGATAAAACAATTAAAATATAAACAGACTCTGCATGTCATTTTGAGCAACGAGTGAAATTGCTCTGTATTATGTCATCAAAAGTTTAGTGGCACAGGAAACAATGCTTTACAGCAGCACCTCATTGAAATTGGAACATTTAGGATTGCAAAGCCCAGCATGGGGAATTCTTGTTTCAAAGTCCTCACCTCTTATCTCTCTAACAATCTTATAGGCTTGACAAAGATATTACAAAGTACTCAGAAATATGTTTTCAAAACATAAAACAAATTGACATGTGTTTAAAATAAGAGCTCCATTTTCTCATGTCCCTTTCAACAAATAGGTTACTTTGAAATGGTCTGTTGCTATGAAAGCAATTTCATTGCACAAAGCAATTCTCATCTCAAAATGAGCATTACAAATATTCCATCAAGTGGTCCAAATGATTGAACATTCATTAGCAATTACAAATAAAAATCTCTAAATAATTTAAAAAACTTGTTTATCATGATTTGTGGTGTAAATTAATCAATTGCTGGATTCATGTATGCTACTGGAGAACAGTCTAGTGTTTTACTTTCCACTGAATTCATCTGTTGTTCTATATTTCATCTGCTTAGAATGAAGATACTTGAAAGTTAGTAATTATTTACTAAGCAATGGGCTCAGTAACTTGAAAACTAGGGATTTTTTTTTCATTTCCAGATATTTGGGAACTAGATGAGAAAAGTGACCAAAATTCCATTTATTGTATTAGGGAGGCTGGCAGTCCACCCTCAGTTTAAGTTTTCGGGCACAGATGTGAGGCGCTGCATGCTGACATTTCTCATGTCAAAATAATAAGGGTCTCATCTACCTTATCTAGGTATGGTGAAAAAAGGACACCTGTGGTTGCTGAATTGTAAAATCTCCTCATGTTGATTCTGCATGAGGTTATGTTGAGTCACTTAACCCGAGATGTGTGATCCTCCAAAAACGGACTATGACCAATTGCTTATGAAATATTTTTATTGCAGGCTGTCCAGGCACCCAAACTAGAAGGCAACATTTCCCTTCCCTTTTCTACCCTTCCACCTCTAAATTGCCACCCCCAAATTTTCTTTCAGACCTCTGTCTTGTCATCCAGTGGAGGTACTAAAGAAATGTGGCTATACTCAGATACACACAAACCACTCCCAGTCTCCAAAGCTAAAGCATATCACCTGAGCAATATGACTAATCTTTTCTACTTGGGGACCAGGATTACAGCTATTGCTGTCTGAACTCGTATCTCCTACTGGGCAGTACAGTGTACTGGCATTGCAGTAGAAAGAGCTGGTCTGTGAACACCCTCCACTTTTTTATAAAGCAATTCAAACACCAGAATTGCTTATAAGGAAAGGGTAATTTTTCACTATTCATGTGTGCAAACAGCTAGTGGGTACTCTACTATCAGCACTTTAACAGTCCTATTATATATACAAATGTCAAAAATACTTATTTTGAGATCATATAAAAACCACAGAGTATGTTTAAAAAGAACACTTGTTCATGTAGGCAACTAAAAATGTATAATAAATTTGTGCTTTTGTAGGAAACTTCCTAAGTCTCAGCTAGACATGTGAGTGATTACTTTAAAATACAGTGTCAGGTTCAGAGATGTCTTTTTAGCCAAGTAAACATTTCTGGAGGAAGGCATAAATGTATGAAAGAGAGGTCAACAGATTTATATCCAGAAAATTTGACTCAATTTAATCATACCTTTTGTGGCCACCCTGACGCAGTCAATTTTGGTTTCCTGTGTCAAATAAAGAGGAAAGGTCATTTCTTGTGCTGTATCCAAAGCAAAGAAAACCATCTATCATTCTAGTTTTAAACTGTTGATAAGATCTAAGAAAATTGTCCATTCTGTGTGTTTGATCACACGTTTAACAGTCTCCAAAATGACTCCAATGCACTTTTCATGGTATGGACAACTAAAACACAATACACTTGGCCATGTGCCATCAAAACTTCACTTAACATTCACTAAAAGATGAAATAAACGTATAGGACATGATGTATGCAACATATTTTCTTTGGTTATTCATTGACTTTAGGAGATTTTTCTTTTTCTTACGAGTAAGTACAGTACTAGGAATCATACTAGACAATTTAAGAAAGAAAATAATCAGTGGTGTTCACATTTCTGTACTGCCAGTGTACTGTGAAAAAGTGGCCATTATGGTATCTGGCAGAAAACATTTCTAGGCTGTCAACGGAGACAGCCAAATCTTATCAGGAATTGAAGGGTACGTCTGCTCAGGAAATGAAAAACAATCCAGGAAGAATCAGCCAGATGAAACATGATCTCCAAGGGCCTTTGTGCATACTTCTCATTTCAGTTCCATCTACTTATTTTTCTTTTACTGTTTTTCTGTTTCTAATTCAGTCAAGACAAGCAAAAGTGAAAACGGAAGTTCAAAATATTATAAACCAAGGTAATATGATTGGACAGACCAAAAATACATATGCTATTGAAACAGTAATCAAGTTTGGCTTGAACTTCACCAAAGTAGCCACAGCATTTCCCTCTTTAAAAAAGGCAGCTAGACAGAAACACCAGCCAACTTTTGGAAGCATTAGTAAGAAATGAAAATAAAGCAGAACAGTGGTATTTCTGGCAATGATGCGCTATCAGGCCCACTCTCCATTGACAAAAGTATGTGGTGTCCTCCTTTCCCTTTTCTGTCGTCCTTAATTATCATGCAACACTGTTATTTTTTAAACTCAACTTGTTAAATTTCATGGTTTCTTCATTCTCTCATTAGCAACTACACTGAACAATACAAAGTCCAGAACCAACAATCTGTTTACACACTAATATTGCATAAGACTACACCTGTCATAAGACTTACCCCATTGGCTCTGCTAGCAGCTTGGAAATAAATGCTGTAGCTTTTATGAGGTAGAAGAGGAGTGTTCCAGAAACCACTGTAGGTTCTGTTATCACCAATGGTAAAAGGCTGAGCCCCTTGAAGACTGTTGGCTGGAAACTCTGCAGCAAAGTAGTATTGAGAGTTCAAAAGCGAAGCATTCTGGAAGTGAATGGGCACTGGGTAGCATTTCAGGATTTCAGTTGTCTTTTTGGTCCTGCGAGGGCGCTCTTCCTCAACAACTATTTGATAGACACTAAGAAATTGGAAAAGAAAGAATGAGAGAAAATATGGGTTATTTTAAGACATCTGAATCAGCCAATTCATTATGAAATCACATCAGCACACCAACAAATATTTATGGAAAAGGTGATGACAGCTGAAGGCAAAGGACATAAAAACACACTGTCAATACTCAGGTCTATAAATTTACAGTACACATCCCCTTCTCCTCCCAAATAACCTCATTTCTCTTTGGAAAATAAAATTGGCTGTGAATATCTAAGACTTTTTATATGACAAATAACACAGAATACTTCCTAGTTGGAACATACATAGAAACATATTTGATGAGTATTAAAATGTTGAACAAGTACTTTTTTGTTTACAAAAAGTAGATAAGAGGCTGTGGATTCAATCCTTTAACCTGTTAACTTGCTTGAAAAAAAAGCACAACTATCAATACGGACAAAGAAAGGCGAGATAAATAGAAAAAAATCTGCCAAGGAATCATATTTGCTTAACTGTTGGCATTACAATTGCATATGAAATACATAATAAAGTGAAAATCTATTTAAAATTTTGGTAGCAGACTGTTATTCGGGAAAAAGAATATATTTTCTGATGGCTAAAATACAAAAGTTTTTTTACATTTATTTTGTTAGTTATATTTGAAATTTGGTAACTCTGATAACAGTGGGGAAACCGAAATTCCATTCACTAATGCAAAACAGAAACAAAATTCTAAATAGTCTAATTGCCTAATTCTGCATAAACTTTCTGTTAATAGTGAGTGCATATATTCTCATAATTGTATAATCGTCATAATTCTGATTCATTAAAGCACTTTAGCACATGTTTAACTGCTTTGCATAATACAGATGGACTTAAACACATGCTTCTCTTTAAACATGTGCTTCAGTGCTTTGCTGAATCAGGGCCTAGAAGAAACTGCCCGTCTTCCTCAAACGTAAAAGCTCATGGACATTCAAACAGGAACCGAGGAAACATTATTTCTGAATATACATGAAAACAGTGAAATCATAACATTCTTATAATTGTTCAAAACAGTGCTTCTAAATTTCTCAAATGTGAAACCCATCTCTCTAAAGAGGATTTGGTTGTAACTTTATTGCTTCCCTGGGGACTAATGACTCTTGATCATTATCCATCTCCATGAGAAGGACAGTGATCATAGATTGCAGGAAGAGAGTTGGTAAGGCTAGCTAGAGTATTTTTAGGGTAACTAAAATGTAATAATTGACTGCATTTTCTTGTGTAGTTTGTATGTATTAACACATGAATTACATTTCAAGTATGTAATTGCTACAAAGCCACAACATTACATATACTTTTGGAGGGTACAGTCTCCCTGATAAATTATGATACCATATTTTGTTCTGATTATTAATAATTTTATTACTATAGCACTGAGGGATCCTCATAATGGACCCCATTGTTTTAGGTGCTGTCCCTGCCCCAAACAGCTGATTACTAGTTTAAGACCAGCACTTTTTTTTTTAAACTGGACCAGCAAACATTTGTATTGAACCACCAAAGGATTTCTACTGAGAGTTGGTCACATTTTAAAATCACATGACTCTGGTTACAATCTTGCTTTTCCCTCAACTTAATTTCTGACATGATTTAGCAATTGATATGAATTTCTATAGTTAGAGATCATTGCTTTATGCTACTTGGAAGTTAGAAATTCATGCCTTATACCATTTCAAAAGGTAAGCATCCATGGTTCTCAATGATGTCTGATATGCTGTTACTGATGGACTGCAAAGCTTTGGACCTTACACTTGTTCTGGCCCTTAAGTCTAACAGTTCTATTTCTGCAGAAGTCCAGGACCAAGAAATCCAGGACTTCGGGCCAAGATAATTTTAAATGCCTGCTTGAGTTTTGTTTAAAAAAATATTCTTTTCATTTTCCACACAGCAATTATAACTGGAAATTTTAAATGTTTTAGAAACAAAATTGTCATTCACATGTGTCTTTACTCTGGCAAGTTCGTATTAGTTATACCACATGCACTACTCCATGTATATTACATTTTCAATGCTTTCCATCTATTCATCTTCAGATATATTAAAGAAAGAACTAAGTTGACTGGAGCAATTTCCAACCCAAAATGTCATTTCATCCTTACACAAGACAAATTAGATTTGCAAGCATCCAGACCTCAAATCTATTTGCTCTTTAATAATTTAAGAACTGAAAGGTCAAGCAGCTCTTTTCTGTTCCCCTTTATCAAAGTCCAAGTGCTAATGAAAAATATCTAAGTCCTATCTGCTGCCCAGTTGCCACACATTGCTGTCTCTCTGTTGTAAATTAACACATTATAAGCACCTGGGTCAATGGCAACCTGACAGAACTTTATGAGTAATGTATTACATTTGTATAAATGAGATCATCTTGCTAATGAATTTTATAAAGTCACCAATTACAATTATAATCCAAAACCTTGCTCAAAATCTTACGGTTAAAACTGCTTTCTTTTAGTATGTAACAACTGAATTGCTAATGCTGAAAAGGGATCTTAAGGTTCAATCTTAGTGAACTGAGTAAGCACTGAATCAGAACTCTATTTTTCCTCTAATATATTAGTCATATTTTCCATTTGTTTAATGTTGCATTATTCCTTTTCCATTCATACAGCCAAATTTTAACTCGAATACAATCTATCTACCTGTGATATGAAAATAAAACCTACACTGAAGTAGACAGTGCAAAAAATATACTAGATATTGGTATAACTAAAATGGAACTTTCTTGAGGAATGAAATTTAATTAAGTTTAGTTTGTGCTATGCTTTTCTACTACAAGACTCTAAGGCCTCAGTAAGTAGAATTCAAAATCTCATTTTAAGCAGAATGACATGATATTCAATCTAGAGAAGAGCATCTGAGATTTTTCTTTAATTTGAGGATTCAAATGTTATATACAATTTTGAAAAATGTGGGAAAAACAATTCTTGCAATTTTGATTTTTTTTAATACCCCCAAACAGGTTCCAAACTTAAACAATTAAATTAGATACATTATGGTCTTGTGTGGCCTTTTGGGTATTGTATAAAATACTTATTGGTTGGATCATTTTAATTTATTTGGCTTCTCACAAATTTATTGACTTCTGGGTTGCTTAAACTAAAGTAGACACTCAAAACTTCTCCTAAATTTCTAAATGTTACCAATGAAAACCGAATATCAAGTATAAGAAGAAGTAAGAGAAAGAGGTTAAATACAACAACTGATATTATTGACAATATTCAGAAGACTGAAATAAAAAACTAGGGTCCCAATTCATTAAGGTACTTAAGCACATGCTTTTATTTAAGCATGTGAGTTCATGTGCTTAAAATTAGGCATGTACTCAAGTACCTTGCCAAACAGGGGCCTTAAAGCTTAGCAAGGCATAATAAATCAAATCGTAATGATAAAATTATATTACAAAGTGGCAAACTTATTCTGTACTTATTCTACTCAAGGAAGCAGTTTTTATACTAGTATGAAACTACGGACCCTTAATACAAGTCTTTAAAATTTACCAGTCGAGCTTTATGTCACCTGAAAGCTATGGAACTGCCAGTTCCAGTTCAGTCCAAAGTAATTACAAATTAAAAAGCGTAAGCAATCACTATTACTGAATGTCCGTTCCCAATTTCTTAATCTGCCTCAATGTTTTCAACGGGTTGAATCGATCAGATTTTTGTCTGTTGAGAAGAAAGATGTTCCTGTAATTGAAGATGTGCATTTTTAAATTCCTGTCACTGTTGTCCGTATGTCTGAAGTAAAAAGAGGAATACGATGATTTACAGAAGTTACAGGTTCCATAGGCTTGGTCATATCTCTGTGTTCATAGGATGGTTGGTTCCCCATGACAAGCAGGAGAGGGACTAAAAAATATGGTATTCAGTGCTAATCACCTGCTGAGTTTTGAACAGAATGATCCCACTATAACAAAACGATGGTACAGGAAAATAGTGTTTTTTTATTTACTTGTAAAATAAGCAACTCAAACCTTCTTAGCCCCTTCTAGGCAGCCTCTCTGCAGTCATTTGCAGCAAGTCTTTCCTCATCTTTGGCCAGTGCAGTTACAGGCAACAGCAGAAAAGCTGAACTGTTTTATTCAAATCTGGGAAAGACTAAATCTCCCTGTATCTTACACTGGGTGTCAGAGGGCTAACGGTATATTTCACCTACATTATAGTGCGAGGAGTCATAGGCAGAAATATCTCAATAGCCGTAATTGAGGAGATAAAAGAAGGCTCAGTTTGAGACCCTAGAGATACTGCCAAAAGTTAATTCTCAGGTGGCCTAAATAAGCTATATCTTCACAGCCCCAAGTCCACTAGGGATGCATCTAGTTTTTAATACAAAACCCTTAAGCCTTTTTATGACTGCCAAACTGTTTCGCATGGATAGTCTCAAAGACTTAAAAGTCACGGTTTACAAAGGGGATTTTCTGGCAAAAGTAGATCCAAGCAAAGCTTTCCTATGCATACAAACAGGAAATCCCTAAGGTTCTCCTGTAGAGGAGTACTATATCAGTGGAAAGTAAAGTTATTTTGCCTGTGTATTGCTACAAGGGCATTCATTACAAGAGTGTGACCAATTATTCATCTCCTAAGGGCCCTGAGAGTGAAAATGCTTATTTACTTAGATGATATCTTAGTTGCAGAAGAGTCAGAGGAGCTCTGAAGACTGCATATTCTGGCCACAGGTCATCTGCCATGAATTTTAAGGTTTCCATTAAATACAGAAATATTTATATTAGCCCCTTTTCCAAGTTTAGACTTTCTAGGATTCAAAGTTGATGGCAGGATCTTGACCCTGAACAATCCCTAAGATGATACCAGTCAGCTCTGTGTTCTTGGGGAACCAGGGCACAGTATCTAGCCTCTCTGACTCATGGAAGACACCCCCCTCCCCCACCAGTCTCTGCTTGAACCAAAACTAATCAGAGAAAAGGACTGCAGAGAGCAGTGAAGGGCGTTGGGAGACACACCTAGACCCCTCCTGACAAGGGTG